ACATTAATTTCCAAAGTAAGTTGTTCAAAGCTGTCACAGCCAGTGAATAATTGTGTGTGTGTACTGAGATAATCTTCACCGAGTTGTGTTTTGGTGAATATAAACCCTTCATAATGATCTGGAAGAACTACTTTTCTAAACCCTTAAAATCTGTTATTAAAAAATCCCTTCAAGTTTCTTCTAGAAACTACATTATTAGGATCATCTGAGAGCAGAAAGGATATAGACAGAATTGTCCTAAACACACTGTGGTAATAGTTCTTCAACTAGAAACAAGTATTAATAACTCAAAGTACTCGGATATCAACCGTTGGTCCGGCATTACACACTTTTGGGAAGACAATGCATCTGGAATCTAAGTTTCTATATGTGATTCCAGAGAAATACTCTGAAATAGACAATCTAATTCAGAACTATGAAACTGCTTATAAAAACTAGAGTACAAGAGAGAATAAGACCTAGAATTAGAACTCAGAATTGAATCCATTTGTTCTTCGAAATCTCTAATTTCTAGTTCTCTTTTTTGTACCACAAAAGAACACATTCCCAAAAGGTCACGAATAAAAGAACCAAAATGGAGGTCCTAACTGTCCCAAAAGAGGTCATTTGGAAAATAGCCAGAAGAAAAAACATTACTACATATAGCAAACATGAGAGCAAATTATATCTGGATATTTCCTTTAAATTCTCCGAAGGTAGTAATATAATCCATTCCCACGACCACAGCCTTTCTTCAGGCTAATTACAGTATATGTGGTCCCTCTGTTAAGCTTTCTTGATCCTCTGCATTTTCTAGTATACTTTACATAGCAGCATGAATTTTCCTTTGGAGCAAAGTTTAGTTATTCCTTTCTGTAACTGCATTTCCAAAGGCACCAGATGTCTTCAAATCAAATTAAACCACCTCAGCACAGGATTCAAGTCTCCAGAAATACCTGGCCCAACCCACTCTAGCTTTACCAACCTACAGTCAATCACAATTTCTATTCCAGTCAAGACAGTCTACTTTCCTTGTCTCTAGACTCTAACCACTGTACGTAATATCTCTTCTGCTCTGCCTCTTTTTAGTAATACCTTCTTCATCAAAAATAATTTTTTCTCCTTAAAAAACATGAAAACTAAAAGCACAGGCAACAAAAGAAAAAGCAGATAAACTGGATTTCATCAAAATTAAAAACTTTCATGCATCCAAGGACACTATCAACAGAGTGAAAAGGCAACCCACAGAATAGAATATTTGCAGCTCATATATCTGATAAGAGATTAATATCAAGAACATACAAAGAACTTCTACAACTCAACAAAAAAACAACTCAATTAAAAAATAGACAAAATGTGAACAACACTTTAGCTAAGAAGATATACAAATAGTCAGTAAGCACATGAAAAAATGTTCAACGTCAGAGAGAAAAATGCATCATAGGGAAATGCAAATCAAAACCAGAATGAGATACCATTTCATCCATTAGGGTGGCTATTATCAAAAACAAGCAAACACAAAATAACGATTGTTGGTCAGGATGTGGAGAAACTGGAACCCTTATGCATTACTGGTGGAAATGTAAAATGGTGCAGCTGCTCAGACAGTACTGGCAGTTCCTCAAAAAATTAAACACAGAATTACCACGATTCAGTAATTCCATTTCTGGGTATGTACCCAAAAGAACTGAAAGCAGGGTCTCAAACAGATATTTGTACACCAGTGTACATAGCAGCATTGTTCACAATAGTCAAAACGTGGAAACAATCCAAATGTCCATTGACCAATGGATGGACAAACAAAATGTGGTACATACATATAATGGAATATTATTCAGCCTTAAAAAAGAATAAAATTCTGATACATGCTGTAATATGGATGAACCTTGAAAACATTATGCCGAGTGAAATAAGTCAGACACAAAAGGACAAATATTATAGAAGTCCATGTATATGAGGTACCTAAAAATAGTTAATTCAAAGAGACAGAAAGTAGGATAGCGGTTACTAGGGACTGGGAAGAGGAAGGAACGGGGAGTTAGTGTTTAATGGGTACAGAGATTCTACTGAGGATGATAAAGTTCTGGAGATGGACAGTGGTGATGGTTGCACTCAGTGTGAATGTAGTTAATATCACTGAACTGTACACTTGAAAATGGTTAAAATGGTAAATCTTGTTATGTATATTTTAACACAATAAAAAAATGAAGATTCAAATGAAAACTCCTAACTCCATTAAACTTCTCAATATTTAATATATTAATTACTATACTTAACTGGTTTGTCAGTTGTGTAAAATAAAATGGGTCTTCCTATAAAGTTAGAAAAACTGTTAAAATTAGGCACTTTATTCTTTATATCTTTAAATATTGACCAGTATTTAAAATTTGACCTATAAAATAAAAAATTAAGTAATTTATCAAAGAACAAGCATACTTGAAAAACTATACTGTATATTCTTATTCTCTATCAGTCCCTAATTTTCCTCTATTGATCTTATGTTGTAGTAGTTTCTGTCATCATACAATTGTATCTTTTATCCAAATTAGCTAAAATTTAAAAGTAAATAATTATATAAATGGAATGGTGGCATACAGATTTCAAATGTTAGACTTGAATTACATAGATTTTTCAGTAAAAACAAAAGGAAAGGGAGGGAGGGAGATTTATCCTTATGAGTCTAAGACATACATGCATTTCTAGGTCTAAAACAGAAGATAAAACATCTTAGGTTGCAAAAAAACTGAGATATCACAGCATACGTTGTAACACAGTGCAAGAAGAATTTCATATAATAAACCCATGTTTTATCAAAAGGAACCTTCCTAAGGATTGTCACATAAATCTCAGCAATTCTGATCCCACATCACCACTAGGAAGATGCACATTTGGCTATGTAGACTTAGTGAAGATAAACCAAAACCAGTATCACTATTTTTAGGAGCAAACTAGATGACATGCATAAATAACAAAGTGAATCTAAATTTTTCAAATAATCATTAAATAAAAGCGAACAATTAGAACAGAGTAACAAAAATAATAAATTACATGGATGGAAGCAACTGACTAGATATAAGCATGGAGAAATCTGGGCATACAAATAACATGAATCAACAAAAGGGTGTTGCCATCCTAAAAGAAATCTAGTATTGCAACAGATTAATGCAAATGATCTAAGAGCTAACATAAATTAATATTTGAAGTTCCACTTTTTAAGGTAAGCCAAAATAAAGAGGTCATGGACATTCTAATCTTGCTGCTATATCCTAGAATATAGCAGGTACTTAATAAAAACATAGTGGCTAAATGAAGGTCATTAAATAAGAACCTGGAACCATTTAGTAGCTAGGGAACTCCAGAGCCAAACAAACCTAAATTTACAGGATGTGCCATGGGGTAATTATCTCAGTCATGAACTTTAACCTTAAAATTTCATGTGAAATGATGGCTACTTCAACTCCTAAAGTAGCATATGTAACCTCAAATCAGAAAACTCCTGAATCACAGAGTTTAAGGGAGGTCAAAATATTGAGGTGACAAAGCAAGGAGTTGTGATCTTTCCAGATGGAAAATGGCAACTCTTAAAATCTTGAAAGATGGACATACTAAGAAGCAGGTCCACTAGGAAAAGGTGGGAGTTAAGATTATTTAATTGGAAAAGCCAAGGATGGGAATGTGATAAGCTCATTTGATATATGACACACTACTGTGAAACAATTTTTCCTCGTTACCAGTGTAGAATGTGAGGAGTCAGATTGCCTTGATGTTTTATGAAGTTATCAAAACATCTGTAGAATCCACTGTGCTTTTGAAACGTACTAGAATACTGTCATTCTACATGATAAACCACCTTAGAATATTTGATAGATAATCTTCTAGTTAAAAAAATGAACGAGTACAGAATAAGAAAAAGCTAAAGTTCTGTTCATTTAGGACAAACAAAGAAGAGAGGAAACTGTTTACCAGCGTAGCTCCATATTTAAATGTTTTCCCTCATTCTTAATAAAGATATCTAAGCTTTGGTTTATTAATCAGTTCACTAAATTAATGCTAAAGGCAAAAATTCCTTATGTTCACGCTTTAGATTTTAAATGACTAAATGTTTTCATCATGTGTACACAGAAGGAGATGCTTTCGGACCTAAAAAGTTTTTTATCTTATCTTCACTTCTAAAAATATCACCACAATCAACAAGGTAATCAAAATTGAGAAAGTGGTGGGCATTTTTTATTTTTAATCATAATATTAATATTGAAACTCTTTTCTAATGATAATCAGGAGTGAGTTCCAATACAATCTAAGATAATTTTGTAAGTGGTAATTCTAGTTAAGGAAAAACTTAGATATAAGGCAAAATCTTATATAAAATTCCCTTTACTTTTTTGACAGGATCAGAGTAAAGAAAATACTACCTGCCTTTGGGAATAGAAATAATGAAGTGACAGTTAAATATTACTATAAACTGAGAGGACACCTGGCTTTTACTATTAGAATAGATTTATCACTTGGTTGTTTAAATAATCATCATCCTCACGTTAAAAATTAGTAAGAAGCTTTTAAAAAGAGAATGAACTTCTAAAATTAATGGTAACTGCTCTGTAATGTTGCTTTCAAGTAAGAATATGTATTTAAGAAAATGCACTTAGTATACAGTTCTTTAAAGAACACTACCATTTTAACAGCAAGATTAATCAATGACAATGAAACTATCTTCCTTACGAAAAAGAAACTAAACACTATAAAATAAAAGCAATGATTGGAAATCTTAAATGATTTTCTTTATCAAGGGAGTAGATTTAATTTAGTGACTTAATTTTTCCACAGAATTAACAATCACTATTACTTCTATACCAAAAGAGGTATAATTTGGGGGAAAAGAGTAAATCTATAAAGATTTTGACATTTTTCCTATCAACTTCTCATTTTTAAGATGTGATGATTCATGAGTCTAATAGAGATTATAATTTTCAGGAAATATACAAGAAATCCATGTTAAATAACAACAGTGGACTTTGAAGGCATGAGCTTTTGTCACTTTATTGTTAACCAATGAATGTTATCCAAAATTATAGATGTAATTGTAACTTAATTGTACAACACAAAATTATGCTAATGGTAAAAGCCTGTTGGAATTTACCAAATACTCATTAATATATTTTTACATTGCTATATGAACATGTGCTCTCAACTGCTAATAATAAAAGTTATAATTGGTTTAATCACTATGAAAACCTATATTGCAAATAGTTGTTCTTGTTTAGAAAAATTCACACAGCTTTAAAAATGGATTAAATCCATTTTAATCCTAATCTACAAATAGATTATAAACAGCAAATATAACTGGTAATTTTTCAACACTGATATCAAACTGAAGTAACAATGGTAGTGCACACAATTCAAAATGAAGAAAATTAATAAAAATCCAATGAAAGTCCAAGTTTTCACCTTTATGGCAATTGTTTTAATGCTTTGGAAAAGTGAACACATGCTGTAAAGCCTCAACAGCAGAGTTCACCATCTATTCCTCTAATGTGCTGCAAGTAGAAACACTCTCTTCCATAGAGTTTTGAAGCATGTGCACAACCACCATACAACAGTCACTTCAAGGTTAACCAGTTATCTTTTGCCCTACAAAGTCCAAAATATATATTAAATGCAACCTTTCCTTCTCATAATGTCTGCCCAGATTAATCCTTTTAAAGTCAGCAAAATCAAAAAAGCACAAGAGATATTTTCAGACACAACTTGAATCTACTGTGCATGAAAAATGTTTAACAAAATGGCAATTTTAATAGATAAATGTAAATTTGAGTACATAATACCAAATGGAAAGTAGCTGAACCACACAGAGAAAACAAGGCTTTTCTTATCTTCAAATCTAGATGTTTTACAATAAAGAAAATGTTAGGACATGTGACTATTAGAACATCTTTCAAACTGGAAAGATTTCTTTGTAAGACATAATTGAACTTAATATAACCTAAAATTATAATTTCTAAATTAGGATTAATGAACCAAATTTAAGTATTCTTAGTTAGAGATTGAAAAAAATAAGCACAATGATTTAGAAACCAAATATGCTAAAATGATTATGTAACAATTACATCAGGAAATGATGGTACAGGCATTCTTCACATGCTACAAGGGCAACATGTCTCTCTCTCTCCCTCTCACACTCACTCACACTCACTCACACACACACACACACACACACACACACACACACACACACACTTCCTCAGGCATACAACACCCCTCCAGGAAGATAGTATACCAGCAAGAACTTACAATTTTAATGCGAATCAGAGTCCCACAATTCAGCTCAACAAAAAGGCAGTTAAAAATTTAGCACTGTAAGATATTCCGAAGAAAAAGAGAAATCTCAAAAATATTCCTTCATGATTGCAAGTATCACTATGTATTGTAAAACATACAGCTTACACACTCTATTGTGTTTGAACAACCAGTCATCGCAGGTGTAGTAGTGAGGTAGGATATACCGTCCCCTCTTTGGGACTGATGTTTTCATATGCTGCCCTTCCAGAAAGGTCCAAGTTTTTTTAAATGATTATAATCAATTACCAACAAATGTATATTTTCTTTTATTAAACATCTCTTTGTCTAAATCAAAGTATGAAAGAAGAAAACTTTTAAATCTTTCAGAGATGACTGTTATTTGCAAATAACGTTTCATCAATAAATTTTGCTAGGAAACTACTACCTGTTGTCTACACCTTTGTGAATCAGTAGGCAAAGAAAACCAAAAGATGACAGGAGATGAAACACCAATCAGTTCAGCTGTCAAAGATGACTGTAATTAAGCAAGCAAATATCAAATATCCAACAATGTAATTAAATTGGGATTTAAAAAAATTAACCACCAGCTGCAGACTACACTATTAAACATTCTAATCTTTTTCATGATTCATAGCCATCTTCTACACAATGATCAAACATTGTCCACCATGTCACCTACCCTCATTTTGAACATTGCCAATGATCCGTATGGTGGCAGAATTATGGCTACAGGCGTGGCAAGATACGACAAGGGCACACTGAGAAAATAAGAGTGAGAGAGAATGTGGAAATACATGCATGTAAAATATGGAAGGGGCAAGGAAAAACAGAGCTCTACCTGAACACTCATTAAGTCACCATCATCCTTTAAAATGTACAAAGTGCTTAGATCACACATACACCTTGGTCAGACATGATAATTAGTGTTAATCTTCAACAGAAAAAAAAATGCAAAATGAAAAATGTGAAAGGTGATGGAACACTGTTCTCCATTCCCTGGCCCAAAAGAAAAAGACAACCAAACATGGTATCACACTGCCTTAATGTTGAAGAGCTCCCCTTAGAGATGTCTTTTAGCCACCACAGTCAAACTGGTATAAGTGCTTTGGCAAGGTGGGATGCATTCCATCACATCTGCAAAGGCCTGCTTTTCTCTGTTGGTGGTTCAGCTTATGAAGAACACGTATGCAAAATAACAGCTCTCACATTGCTTCAAACTCATCAATACGCTGCTTTGTATTGCCCTGTCGAATCTGTCGCAGAGTCTTGTACTTATCACGGCCTGCTTTAACATTCTCAGCATGAAGAACATCATTTTGTGTTTTCTTGGTTTCATCTCTGGCTTGGGCTAATTCCGAACTTAATGCCTATGTTGAAAAATAAAAATTATGACCATTATTTTTTTCTTACATTTTAAAAACTTATGAAAAAGGTTTAAAGACAAAAATATACATATAACAAATATGACTTTTTAGCATATTAAAATTTCCATTGTGAAATCTTTTACTTCGAAGTGTCTAAGTCTATTTTACTTTTAGTAATAGTGGGGTAGTAGTTAGGAAGGAATACTCATGGCCTTTCATTTCTACACTCATCAACCAGGATGATTTTGTGTATTATTCTAAATTTCCTTCACTTTCTCATACAATACTTGAAATGACTTACAAAAGGTATGTAGCCGTTATAGAATAATGTATAAATAAAAACAATGTATAAATAAAAATCTATACCATGAGAAAAGCTTTCTCCAAAAGGCTTAATATATTTATTACAACTATCATCTCATTTTCTTTTATTAATATTTAAAGATTTCACCAACTAAAAAATTAGAGAACTTATCTGGACAAAAGGTCTAATAATATTAAAATTTCCTATTTTCTTCTAATTATGCACATTTAATAAACTGACCTTTTCCTATTATAAAAGCTGAACAAATAATTCAGATTATATAATGTCATACAGGTAGTCTATTAAATTATGATTGCTTTTTAATGTATACTTTATTGTTTAAAAATTAAATTCATTTGTTTTTAAACACAGCATTAAAATACTATCTACCTTTTAACACAGATCAAGCTATAATTAAGGAATAACTAACCAGTTAAGGCCTGATTACACAAGGCTAATAAGCATGTGCTAACAGGGCCATACAATGGAAGACATGAAATAATGCGACTCTAGGCCAAGCACTCACAAAGCAATCACAAGGCCAGCTAGTGTTCAAGGCTTCCAAAAATCTAATGATCCTTTTTAATAAGTTTATCTTAATTAATGGGGAAAATGTAAACTATACTTTGTGCATACAACTGCAAATTTTAAATACCTGGAGTTGCTTCTTAACACGCTCATTTTTCTGTGTTTCTGTTACACGTTCCTCCTCACTTCTATGGTTCATCACCCCGTCATTTGATAATTCAGCACTAGCCTCAGCATTATTTTCATCATGTTCATCATGTTCATTTTCTGTTGGAGGAATGACCGGTGGTGGCGGAGGTGGAGGAGGGGCAGACATCACAGTTTTTAACTCTTCTTTGGTCTTTTCCAAGTCTTCCTGAGCTGCAAAAGCCTGAAAATTAAAAAATAAGTTTATCAGCAACTTACTTTGAAAATCAGTAATTAAAAGAATCAAATTATCCTTCCTTTCTAATAGAAACTTTATTTCAGGGCAATGAAAATAGGCCCTATTGATGAAAGCTCTGTCTTTATAGAAGAATGTTAACAGGTAGGAGTGACAGAATTTAAAAACATCACTTTGCAAACCCTAATAAAACTATTAATTCTGGCAAGGATAATCAATTGTTGCTAAAATTGTTATGCAAACGGTTAATGAGAAATGGATATTAGTATAATGCCAAAGAATGCCACACCTAACAGATTACATTTTAATCACAAAGAGGAAAATGTAACCAGACAATGGAGGAATCAGTCATTATTCTAATCCAATGATCAATTAAAATTACTAATGTTGGGTGAACTAGATATTCTTTTTTTTTTTTTCTTAATAATTTTATTTATTTATTTATTTTTTCCCCCAAAGCCCCAGTAGATAGTTGTATGTCATAGTTGCACATCCTTCTAGTTGCTGTATGTGGGACACGGCCTCAGTATGGCCGGAGAAGCGGTGCGTCAGTGCGCGCCCGGGATCCGAACCCGGACCGCCAGCAGCGGAGTGCGTGCACTTAACCACTAAGCCATGGCGCCGGCCCGATATTATCTTCTAATAGGATAAAACAGAAGTACCCAGCATCACCAATTATTTGAGCGAGCATATTGTGCACGTTTGCCTGGAAAAGTCTTGCTTTACACTGTTGTCCTGATGTAATTATTAATAACGCTCCCTTTCACTCTCAAAAATGTTCTAATTTGGATGATAAATTATATGAAGTCTCACCTCTGAGGCATCATAGCCAAAAATTTTTAACTTGAATCCTTCAAAGTTTTAGGTCTATCCTCCAGTTTACAGGAAGTATTAATGATCAAAGGACAAGCTGAATGACATCATGAGGAAGCAACTAGACAAATATAAGAGGAGGGACAATCTGCAGGTCTCTCAATAAATTAGTACCATAAAAAGAACTGTCCTACTTAAAAGAGATTTAGAGCAAACATGTAATGCAAAGTCCTACTTTGGACACTGGCCTGGCAAATTAGCTATAAAAGACTTTTTAAGTCAATTTTGAATATAGTCTGCCCAGAAATAAACCCACACATATACAGTCCATTAATTTACGACAAAGCAGCCAAGAATGTACAATGGGAAAGGATAGTCCCTTCAATAAATAGTGTTGGGAAAACTGGACAGCCACATGTAAAAGATTAAAACTGGACCACTATCTTACACCATATACAAAAATCAACTCAAAATGGATCAAAGATTTGAATATGAGACCTGAAACCATATAACTCCTGGAAGAAAACTTAGTCGCTCCTTGACATTGGTCTTGGCAGATTTTTTGGATTTGACACCAAAAGCAAAGGCAACAAAAGCAAAACTAAACAAGTGGGACTATATCAAATCAAAAAATTTCTGTACAGCAAAGGAAACCATCAATAAAATGAAAAGGCAACCTACCAAATGGGAGAAAATATCTGCAAATCATATATCTGATAAGGGGTTAATATCCAAAACATACAAAAAACTCATACAACTCAAAAGCAGAAAAACTAACAATTCTATCAAAAAAGGGGCAGAGGATCTGAACAGACTTTTTCCAAAGAAGACATACAAATGGCCAAAAGGTACATGAAAAGGTATTCAAAATCACTAATTATCAGGGAAATGCAAATCAAAACCACACTGAGATATCACCTCACACCTGTCAGAATGGTTATTTTCCAAAAGATAAGAGGTAAGTATTGGCAAGGATGTCAAGAAAAGGGAACCCTTGTGCCTGCTGGTGGGAATGTAAACTGGTACAGCCATTATGGAAAACAGTATGGAGGTACCTCAAAAAATTAAAAGAACTACCATATGACCCAGCAACTCCACTTCTGGGAATTTATCCAAAGAAAAGGAAAACATTAACTCAAAAAAATATATGCACCCCCATGTTCACTGCAGCATTATTTACAATAGCCAAGATATGGAAGCAACCTTAGCGTCATAAGTGGAGGAACGAATAAAGAAAATGTGGTGTATACATATACAGTGGAATACTATTTAGCCATAAAAAGGAAATCTTCCCATTTGCAACAACATGGATGGACCTTGAGGACATTAAAATAAGTGAGGCAGAGAAAAATAAATACCATATGATCTCACTTATATGTGGAATCTTCAAAAAAAAACAAAACAAAACAAAAAACAAAAACGGAGCTCATGAACACAGAGAACAGACTGGCGGTTACCAGAGGTGGGGACAGGGGGTGAAATGGGTGAAGGTGGTTAGAAAGTACAAACTCCCCGCTATAAAATAAATAAGTCATGGGGATGTAATGTACAGCATGGGGACTATAGTTAATAATACTGTATTGTATATTTGAAAGTTGCTAAGAGAGTAAATTTTAAGTTTTCATTACAAGAAAAAAAATTTTCCTAACTATGTATGGTGATAGATGTTAACCACATTTACTGTGGTGATCATTTTGCAATATATAAATATATTGAATCATTATGTTGTACACCTGAAGCTAATATAATGTTATATGTCAATTATATATAATAAAAAACCTTGAATATAGTCTAAAATTAGATGAGATGAAAACTGACTAAAATGGAATAGTATGTACAGTATAACCTCACTCTGAACATATAAATGTGTTTGTATACACATACGCAAACAGGAAAAGATCCTGGAAGGATATGCACTAAGGTGTTAAAATAGTGATTCTAGTTCGTAGGAATGTGATTTTTCTTTTGTGTGCATTTTCTAATTTCTACAATTCACAGGATTTGCCTATGTGGTATGTTATTTTTAAAAGTTTATGTGTTTCTATAAAATTCTAATAAAGTAGTGTAACAGGTAAGTTAACAGAGTTTTATTCCTTTTGTGGCGGTATCTATACACAAATACATAATTCCCAATATATCAAAAACTTCCTTATGAAATTTAAACTGCACAAAGAAAATTTAAGTTGAGTGAAAGAAAACCATTTCACATTTTATTTTAGAAAAGTCATACAAATATATACCTTTGGGTGTTAAAAATTATTATAGTTCCATTTAAGAATTAACATTACTTAAAGTTTGAATTAAACTCTTATGATCTTATAATCCCCCCAGGCCTCCAACTAAAGCCTGATTTTGCACTTGTGTGCTATTTCAGACAATAGTGGTTTCATCTTCTTAGAAACTCATATTAGAAATTTCAGTATCATCTTCATTGCATCCCTCTAATTCAACTTTATATAGAATCATTTGGTTGCCATGCCCTTTTGAGTTTACCACAAAATGTCTTTCAACAATTCCTGTTCCTCTTTATTCTGTCACATCCTTAGTTTGGTTCTTTATCTCTTAAGTAATCTTACCCACCATTCCAATTCATCCTTCACACTGATTGCTAAGTTATTTTTATAAAACCATACCTCATCATACTACAAGCCTGTTTTGAAATCTTCAGAGCCCAATGTCTACAGATACTCCCCATCCTCTTGCTTAGTGGGGCATTTATTTAAAGCCTTTCACAACTTAATTTCCTCTCTAACATTCCAGCCACATCTCTCAAAATTTCTGAACCTATACTCTAAGCTTTGCTCGCTTACTTGTTCTCCTCCAATCTGTCATGTACTCTCCTACTTCCTATACTCATTCAGTTCCACCTCTCTGGAATGACCACCTTTTTGGTCTCTAACCACTCCCAATCTTTCCTACCCCAAAACTGAATTTATTACTATTCAAGACCCAGCTTAAATTTGTAAGAGTTTCCCCAATGCCTGCCTCATCCCCACAGAAATTAATCACCTCTTCTGTGTTCTCAAAGTACTCAGCTTACATCAATAGATTAATATTGACTACAATACACACAGGTATCTCTTCCCCTCTAAATTGTGACAGTCTCTTATACTCATCTTTATAAATTCGGCATAATGCTGGGTACAAAATAGGTATTTAATAAATGACAGTGAATGAACAAACAAATGATTACTTTGTGTTGCCACTCAGTAGCTTCCTCTTCCTTTTTCTTCTTGGCTTCTTCTAGAAGTGCAATCTTGGCAGTGAATTCAGCAAGTTCTGCTGCCTAAAATGAACAATACAATTACCAACACTGAAAAACTTAATATATTTTCAATAATTTATATCAAGTCACCAAAGCTTTAATGTATATGCTTGGGCTGTTTTATGTTTTTCTTAGTCTTCCATTCTAAAAATGGTAATATTTTTTTAAGATCACAAATATCTTATTTATAGTAGGTCTAATGAGCGAATAAAAGGAGCTAATAAGGAGACGAAGTGAAAAAAATTTTACTATTCTCTAGACAAGTAGTTATTCCTGTTTCAGTAGTAGGAACTTAAAATGTGCTACTTAGGAGCTATTTTTTAACTTTTATCAATAATGTATTTGCTACCTACAAAAGAAAACAATTGTATTTACATAACGCTTTATAGTTTGTCAAATAATCTCATTTGATTCCCCAACAATTCTATTAGGTGGTATTACTCCTTTTTCAAAAGGAGGGATCTGAGGCTCAGAAAGACCCAAAGACACATATCAAGTAAATGCCTGAACCAATATTTAAATACGGGATCTTCTAAGTGTCATAATACTCCTTATTATTTCCAAGTCCACTAAACAAACAAAAGCCCAATCAATTACAGCCTACAGTTATCTTACAGGAGTTAGAACATATTATCAATTTATCTAAAGCAAAACACCTCAGTTGCTTACGCAAAGTTTAGGTGAATCAGAATGTTTTGTGAGCAAGGGCTCCATTTATCTTTTGTTTTATGTGTAGGGTTTTTTTTAAGGCAGAAATAAAATTTTTAGGTTTATTTCCACACTTTATTATTAAGTTACTTGTATCTTTGGTTTGCTTTCCAGAAGGCATAATATACTTAGTTTTACAAGTTTCACTCCACGCTTTTGTCTAAATTTCTCTTTTTCTCTAAGACAGAACTAAGACAGGTTCCTTACTAGCTGCTCCTGATTCTTCATCTGGTCGGCAGCTTGTTTTGCTATAGCAGACTTGGCCTCTTCAGCAGCTTGACGCTCCTTTTCAAGCCTTTCAGCTTCTTCTTTTGCTCGTTTTCGTTCCTGGTCCAGTTCTAGAGCTTTTCGAGTCTGTTCTTCTAGTTCTGTCAAACATATGTATATCCCCCCCAAACAATGTTTAAGTCCAATTACTCTCATTATCAAAAAAAGCCAAAATAGTAGCAAGGAATCTAATCTGTACTATTTCTAAAAATTAGCACATCTGCAAATGAACATACACCTTGTTTTTAACTTGGAAAAAGCCTAATAATTTTTAAAAATCGATTACACAATTAAATGCAAAGAAATGAAAATCTTTTGTCATTCAAGTTACGTCATAAAGCTAGCAGCACATCCTTTATCTTTTAAAAAATAATTTCTCCAAAGTTTTGACCTAAACAATTTGCCATCTGTTTCAAAGATCTATAAAATAACACACTTTAAAACTTACATAAGTTTTTACTTATCTAAACTAAGTACTAGATAAGTAAGCCCACGATATTAAGACTGAAAACAATCGTTACTGATTCAAAATACGAATTTTGATGTCAATTATATGAATTACCGAAAATTTTGTGTTACTAGTATACATCTATTCCTCAGGCATGAAGAAAATTAATATTTGGAGATGAATGACACAAATTTTAATCCTAAGTGTACAGATGATAAAGTTTATTCTCTTTTCTTATTCTAATGAGTTGAATGAGAAAGGAAAATATTACTAGCACAAAGCCAAAAACTTTTAAATGAGTTTAAAAGTACTAATTTTAAATATTATTCTGACAAGTCGTTTAATAACAAGGATATTTTGTGACAGAAGACATAGTACAATGTCTTACAAAGAATGGCTCTCCCTTTCCATATACTACAGAAAAGAGGAAAAACTGAAAATTTGTATGTCATGAGGTTTAAAAGCTAACACTAATGTACACGCTTCTCCTTACCATCTTAATTTTTTGGTCTTGGTCAGAACTAATTTAAATAACTGCACTTAAAAGTTGGGAGGTTTTGAGACCGGAAGAAAAATGACTCTGGTTAGGCTTTCAATTCTTGATAAAATAATGTAAAAATTCTATGAGGCTATTTGGCTATAAAGATGAAATGTATATAACACTGGAGGTCACCATATCTAAATTCTAGGATTATTCACTTTAGAATCTGCCTTCTAAAACTTGGACATCAAACTAACCTGTTAAACTTTTCTTATGGTCATTCTTTCCATCTGGTTGACTGATACATAAAATAAAGCTCATAACACTCATGGCTTTAGCATTCATCTAAACAAGCAAACAAATAACTAAAGAAAAATTTACAAATAAAAACAATGCTTTATTTTCTCTCATAATAAAAATTTTTTCTGTACTATGAGACAAGCAAGAAAAATAAGTTTGGGTTACAAAGTTGAATTTTAGAAAAATGATGATTATTGGGGAATATTTATTTTATCAGGTTTTTTGTAATAAATATCAATTTGAAGAATGGAAGACAAGGCAATGGTTGTTTTGTGGTATATTAAGAATTATGCTAAAAGTCTGAATTTTTTTAAATGTTGAAAATAAACTGAAAACTTCAAATCTACTCTAGTCCCTTCTAGAAAGTAAGGTTTTGAATAGCCATATATCCCATAAATGACCTCTCCTGTTTCTTTTCTCTCCAGTTAACTGAGTTAGAACAGAGATCGGCAAACTATGGCCCAGTGACCAAACTCTACCCCATGTCTTATTTTTGTAAATAAAGTTTTATCAGAACTCATACCCTCATTCAATGAGGCTATACAATACTCTCATTTGTTTAGGTATTATACATGATGGCTTTCATGGTACAATAGCAGAGGTGATAACTGCAACACAGATTGTGTGCCCTGCAAAGCCTAAAATATTTACTATCTAGCCCTTTACAGAAAAAGTTCGTGAACTCATGAAATAGAATATTTCTATAAAACAAGGCCCTCTAGACCTTGGATCCAGTTAGAACCACTGCAGAGAAGGATTAGATGAAAAAGGTGAATATCAATTTGTTTTGCCTATCTGGTTCATAAAAATCTAGAACCTACAAGTTTTGAGGTCTGGCATTTGGGAAGAGGGGAGCAAGGAATTGAGCTTCTTTTAGAATATCAGCTCTTTCAGGCCAGCCCCGTGGCTTAACGGGCCTGGGCTCGGATCCTGGGCGCGCACTGACGCACCGCTTCTCCGGCCATGCTGAGGCCGCGTCCCACATACAGCAACTAGAAGGATGTGCAACTATGACATACAACTATCTACTGGGGCTTTGGCGGGGGCGGGGAGAAAAGGAGGAGGATTGGCAATAGATGTTAGCTCAGAGCCGGTCTTCCTCAGCAAAAAGAGGAGGATTAGCATGGATGTTAGCTCAAGGCTGATCTTCCTCACACACAAAAAAAAGAATATCAGCTCTTTCAGGATGAAGATTAGAGGCTACAAAAGTAAACTGTTTCTCTCGTTAAGAGTATTGTATTAATGTAGATGGTTATGGTGTTTAACTGGGAGTAGATCAGGGAAGTTATTCTAAGTTCAAGCTAATAAAATTTGTGAAAGCTTCTCTTTCTCAATCAGGCTTGAACCCAAGCATTATTTGATTTTGACAGGTCTAAGATTTTGTAAGCCAAATGATCTCTTATCTTATGTTACCCTGAGGGCAAAGCTTGGAAACTATATGATTGCAACAGTATTAGTAAAAAGTGTATCAACAAACAAAATATTCCGAAAGGATTACAGATTTTTCTTCCTCTTTCCAGTCTAGGGCAATAGTTTATTAAGTACAGTCATCTCTCACTATCCGCAGATGTTCAAGTCTCTTATATAAAATGGCGTAGTATTTGCATATAACATACGCACACCCTCCTGTATACTTTAAATCATCTCCAGATTACTTATAATACCTAATACAGTGTAAATGTTATGCAAATAGCTCTTATACTGTATTATTTAGGTAATAATGACAAGAAACAGAAAGTCTCTACAGATGCAACCAATTGTTGGCCTTTCCATCCGTAGTTGGTTGAATTCGTGGAAGTGGAACCACGGACATTTGGGGCTGATTGTACCACATTTTTTTACCCTGTGAAAAGAACTAATATTATCGTAAAACAAAAGCAAATAGAAGTTTCATAATCAAAATTCTTAGAAATCATAGAATAAAGAATGTGATTACAACTTACCTACTGAACAGCAATTTTAAAATATCTGTACTAGATCTAAGCAAAAGAGTATCATGCTACCATAAAAAAAGTAAGGAAGATCTCTATGAATGCATATGTAGTGACTTTCAAGATTATATTAATTGAAAACAAGGTGCAAACGGATATATGTAGTATACTATCTTTTGTGTAAGACAGAAGAGGAAATGAATATATCTTTGTGTGTATTATGTATTTGCTTATTTTGTATACAAAAAAACAAATATTTAATACTCCCAGTAGAGTGGAATAGAGGTGGAGAGAATGCAACAGCCTGAGGCCCACGGTATTCTACCAGACTGAGAAGACAGAGATTTAGACTTTGGAGTTGCCGAGGCATATAAGTCTTGAGAGGCCAAGATTCTGAAAAAGAGTGAACAGAAAAGCAAGCCCCAAAATCTGCATGCTATTTCCCTTCAAGATGTTTGCCAACTCCTAAAATGTACACATATGGGGTGAGACACCAGGAAAACAAGCAAAAAGCTGTAAGGAGCTAAAGAGCTAAGAAGAGAGATCAACACTTTCTTGCAGCTGTAGAATCAAAGGCTGGAGTTCAGGGTCCTCTAAGATAAGAGGGCCCTGGTAAACATGCAGTCTTTCAGATGACACCCCCAAAGGGCTCCAGACTAGCAGTGAAGAAAACCATAAAGAGACCAAGCTTAAGAAAGCCTGAAACCCAGCTCACCTTCATCAAGATGATCTGCACATATTCTGCCTGTCAAAAGAAAATTAAATCCTCTCTAAAGAAAAATAACATCATCCAAAGTCTCTATAACTTTTCAAACACAGTATTGAGCATTCAACCAAAATTACCAAGCATACCAGGAGATGGAACCAAATAACTCCCTCCAACTTTCCCTGCCTCTAAAAAAAGAAAAACAGACTGCAGAATAGGTCCATTATCCATACATTGGAGTTGGCAAACAAGGACGTTAAAATAACTATTGATTGATACTGCTTATTTAGGTGCGTTGAAAAAAAAAGCAAAGCATGAGGAAAGAATCTAAGTCCAGAGGAACACTGACAACAATGTAGAAACTGATCTTCATGCATCTTACAAACCCTCTGCAAAGATGCCAAGGGCCAGAGTTCCCTTTATAATTACGTAAGTTCAATTTATCAATCTTTTCCTTATGTTTATGAACATATTCTCCTTCGCTCTCTTCTGGAAACTTCATTTTACCTTAAACATTTAGGTCCACAACCCACAGCCCCTCCATAGAGAAACATCTGGTAAAAATTCAGTAGATCTGTGACAAGGATCCACATACACTACAGTTTTATTTTAGCAAAACAGTGAACTACTAGAATCATGCATTGAAAAAAAAAGCCTTCCCCCCAAAAAAGATACATTTATAACCACTCAATAACCAGCAAAACTGCAAATGTGAAGAGCATGTGAAGCTCCTCCCGTGGCTGAGAATGAAAGGTTAAGGAAAGAAAATCTAAAAAGGCCAGACTTGGGGAGGTAGGGAGGACACATTAAAAAGCTGGATATAAACGCCAACTTGGAAGATAAATCAGAGTTATCGAGCTTGTCACCACATTCAGAAACTGTTATCAAATCCTCAACCCACAAGTTTATGGCGAAGGCATCCCAATAGCTGATCCTCCTCTCTTAAACTTTCCATCTCCAGAACCTCCTCTCCAGAAGCTCTCTATTCAGTAAAGGGTTATGAATAACTAGAATGAGAGGCTACAGAAGATGGGAGGAAAAGGAGAGTTAATACAGCAAACAAAAAGAGAAAACTACCAACCCAGGAATGATCTGGGAGGTGCATCACCTAGCAATACCATAAGAGCAGAGGTATATGCCATGAAACACGCAGACTATCTGGATTGTTGACTGAAACTACAGAGTCCAATCTTGGTGGATACTGAACTCTCCTGGATCGTCTGTCCTGTTATAAA